TCAGCAATCTATAGTTATTGACGAAACTGCAGATGATGATATCATCAGAACTGCCTTACAAAAGAAAACAATGTTAATGGAATACTTTTCCTTGAATCAACGTGATCCAAATGCTAGATAACTCACATATGCCGAAATTCCATCGCATTACGTGTTCAAAAAACCACCAGGTACAGGTACATCAATCTGGCAAAAACGTAAATCACTATTCAGTATCATCGAAAGAATGTATTCCGTTAGTCCATCTCAGATTGACCTTTTTCGACTTCAGTTATTATTAATTGCCAAGAAAGGAGCTGTGAGTTTTGAAGACCTTAGAACAATTAATGGTCAAATATATCCAACATATCATGATGCATGTGTGGCACTAGGTTTGATTGAAGATGATTCAGAATGGGATCGTGCTATGACAGAAGGGGAAATTTGGATGATGCCTCGGCAGCTACCTCATTTATTCGTACGACTTCTACTTTATTGTCAACCCAATACTCCAGAAGCACTGTGGCAAAAATTCAAAGATGCGATGTCACAAGATTTCCAACGAAATTGCAGCACATCTCTAGCACATAGTAAAACGTATCATGAAATCAACACATTTCTTTCCCATGAAAATTCTGATATAAGCAAATTCCCCACGATGCCAGCACTAACAGAATTTGAATCTAACACTGGTAATAATGAGGTAGATGATGAAAATTCATTGTCCCTTCAGTAGCATGAAGAAATCGGAAGAACACAATACAATAAATTGAATCCCCAACAAAAGGACATTGTCGACCGAGCTTTAGATATTGTAAGCAATAGAGGAACAACTTCTACATCATGTTTCTACATTGACGGGCCTGGTGGATCTGGGAAAACATTCGTATATACTACTCTCTATCATTTATTAAAAGGTAAGGGTAAGAACATTTGTACAAAGGCATTCACTGGTATTGCAGCAACCTTGCTCCCAAAGGGAAAAACATTGCACAAAACTTTTGGAATGCCAGTCCCAGTGATGTCCGATTCAGTTTCAAATATCAAAAGTCAATCGAAAGACGCTCAACGCCTTCGGGAGATTGATATTTTCATGTGGGATAAAGCACCCATGGCTCCAAGGTACTGTTTGGAATTAACTGACCGAACATTACGTGATTTTACAAAAGTGAGATTACCATTCGCAGGGAAATTCATGCTTTTAGGTGGCGATTTCAGACAATTACTACCAGTGAAAGCTCATGCAACCCGTTCTGAAACGGTCAATTTATCGATTAAATTCAGTAATTTGTGGAAACATTTTTCTACTTTTTCCTTAAGTGAGAATATGAGGACTTTACCACGAGAAGTTGACTTTGCTAAATATTTACTCACAGTAGGAGACGGCTCAGCTAATGAAAACGATCATAATTTACAAATTCCGGAACAATGTTTAGCCTCCACGACCGATGATATAGCCGAAAAAATGTTCAAGAAACTAATTGATGAGCGCAAGTTTGACGAATTATCGAAAATTGCAGTCCTATCCGCACGAAATATCGATGTGGAAGAGATTAATTGCAGGGTAGTCAATTTATTAGATGAAAAAAGTGAGAAACTTCATCCCGGGGTTGACAGCACAAAGAACTGTGACAATGGGGACACTTCTGAAGCAATAACAACAGAATACTTGAATACTCTGAATCCTCCGAATTTTCTGCCCCATCATTTGCGGTTACGGAATAATTGTATTGTCATCCTAATTCACAATCTTAGTATTGATGAAGGTCTATGCAATGGCACTCGATTACAAGTATTACAATTAGCAAACCATCTCATAAAATGTCGGATTCTCACAGGTGATAAAACTGGAAATCGTATTTATGCACCGTATTTCATTGTATTGTGAAGATGTTTATCCATTTACATTCAAACGACGCCAGTTCCCAATCAAATTGGCTTTTGCAATGACCATTAATAAAAGCCAGGGACAAATTTTCGATAAAATCGGAGTCGATCTGCGTAAAGACGTATTCAATCATGGTCAGTTATATGTAGCATTCTCACGTGTTCGATCTTGGGAATCACTGCAAGTCTACGTAGGTGCACAACGTGAGAATTCTATCGTCAAGAATTATGTATATAAAGAGTTACCTTCTTGATTCGATCTGAAAGAATCTTGAAAACTTATTTTTCCAGAATCTGGATGGTAAATGACAAAAAAAAGAAACATCAAACACCAAAGAAAGAAATGAAATAGAAAGCTTCGTTTAAACCAACTCGATAATTACGGCGCGCTGTAGCGCGCTTTCGGTCTCGTAGTAAAAATCCGTGTGCAGTGAATTTTTGGGCCTTCACAACGCTTCTCGAAAATTCGTCCTCATCTCATCCATCCTCCCAAAATTTCCACCGATCCAGGCATCTCACAAAGCAGAGTCAGTTGCTTAATTGTCAATTTTCTCAGATAGCATGAGGACTAGTAAATTTTATCCGAGAATCTTTTTTTTTGTTGATGAAATTTAACTGAACAATGTTTAACTACTCTTTTCTACTCCAGGGTGCTAATTGATCAGGGATCTGAAATATCGTTCATCGCCGAGAATCTAGACCTCAGCAACTGCATTCGGAGACTCGAAAATCAAGGCAGCACGTGAACTACAATCGGTCGTGAGACGCCTACAAAAGGATGAGGCGTACTCGAAACTCTACAAGGACTTCATCAAGGAATACAAGGATCTAAATCACCTACAGGAAGCGCCTGAAACCCCAGAACCTTCCCCAGCATATTATCGACCGAACTATGGGGTTTTGAGAGCAGATGCAGTCACGACAAACTTAAGAGCTTCGTTTAACGGCTCCAGTGCCACCCAACAGGAATGTCACTGAATGATATGTTCTATCCTGGTGGCAAATCGCAAATGAGACATCGTTAACGTTATCAGTGAGTGAATTAACGTTATGAGTGAGGAAACACCAGTACGTTTTTCGCACGGATATCGTGAAGATGTTCCACCAGATTGTAGTTCACCAAGACGATTGGGATCTTCAACTAATTTTGTGAGATCACCTATTATCTGACCGCGGTAACATATGGTCTGAATTGTTTACCATGGATATCATGCAGAGTCCTTCAACAACTGGTCGAGGATAGAGATCATTGCTTCCCAGCAGCTAAAGAGACACTCAGCAAGGCTCGCTACGTCGACGACACTTACGGCGTAGCTGACTCTATCCAAGAATTGAAGGAAATCGTCGTTCAACTACAAGGACTCTGTCAAGCCGGTGGGTTCCCTCTCTAAAAATGGGTCAGCAACAACTCACCAAAGGATCTTCAAGGGCTAGGCTTGTCAACACAAGATTCACCAATACAGTTTGAAGAGTCCATCATTAAGGTATTAGGCCTGTGTTGGCATCAATCAACAAACTGCTTCAAATATAAAGAGAAGAACTTCAACTCGACAACGTTGACCAAACGATCAGTGCTCTCAGTGATCTCAGAGCTTTGACTCACTGGGATTCATCGCTCCAGTCGTCATTCTAAGCAAGGTATTTCTACAGAATCTAATTGCCAAGTTAGATCAAATCTCAATTTCAACATAGCTCAACCTATCAATAGTAACGATCAACATCCAGATTCACGGGTTTGCTGATGCATACAAAACGGCAATGGGTGCAGTAATCTACATCAGAACGAAGAAAATCAACGAGCCTGCCTCCACAATCATAGTATGTGCAAAAACGAGGGTCGCACGGAACAAGGAAGTAACCATCCCTCGCTTCGAATTCACCGCCGCAATACTGCTCACCCGTCCTGTGAAGGCAACTCACCAGATGCTCGAACTGGAGAACGTGGCGACTCACCTCTGGTCTGACTGATCTGTGGCTCTGGCGTGGATCACAAGTCATCCTTCACGATGTAAGGAATTTGTCCAAAACAAAGTCGCAGAAATACAACAGATTTTGCCAAATGCACCTGAAATGATTGTGGATCAGCATGTACTCCTAGGACACCCTGTATAGATTTCTAGACCAAGGAGAGAGAATACGGGAATATTGTCGGGAACCACTCTTCTAAGCTCAATTGACAAATTACATACAACACAAGAGTTGAATGACGAAAAATATATTTTCACTTAATGAGTAATTGGCAATAGCCATATAATACATATTCGGTGTGTTTTGGTCGGTGAATTCTCCTTCTCGGCGAAGGCACGATAATTTCGGTGATTGGGACAACGAGGAGAAATCTCTCTAATGGAATGAATTACGGGGAGGATCTGAAATATCAAAAAAGAGGGGAATGAAATACTTGCGGGGGGGGGGGGTGACTATGACAACCAAGTGTATTCACAAAAAAATAATAATGCAATAAAATTAAACAAATAGTACACTTGGGCATTTTTATTGACTAATTAACTCGAGGATGAGGAGTAAGGCCAGTCAACTTCCGGCAACACGAAATTATATCACCAAGAAAATGAAAAGGGAGAAGCTACTGAGAACCATCGGGAGAAGTTAAGGGGGGCCAATTGTAATAAGATATTAGCAAATAGGGGCTTTATTGACGAATGCGGAAGAATGTGAATGATGAAATACAGAACAAATGTATTCGGAGGCTCACCGTTGGGGGCAAATAATTATTAAGGGTAAACCCGTTGGGGCGGGGAATTAACAGGCCTTTGATCTCGTCGATGGTCGCCAACAATTTTACATCATAGAAGGGAAGATTATATAGCGTTCCTCATTCTATTTGTGACGTCATAGGAGTCGTTGGATAGGATTTGGATGAGGTAGGAAGGAGAACAGGATAATCCTATCTATAAAAGGTGATACACCAAAATTAAGTTGGGCGAGAGTAAGATTGGCTAACTTCATGCGTAAGACTTTTCACCTGTGACCCATTTCTCATTGGCTATTTCAAATACGAGACCGAACGCGCGCTCCGCGCGCCGTTTGATTCCGTGGTGTTGATGATGACGTGATGACGAGCAGTATAAAGCAGGCAATACTATGATGTGAGTATTGATTGTATTTTTTCAAGGGAAATCAGTACATTTATTAGGAATGCCATGAAGACATAACCTCAGAGGGTTGGCTCGTGGCTCGACTCATGGGGTAATTATATTTTGTCAACTTTCAATCCTTTTCTTTTTTAAATTAACAACATTTTAGTCCAATTTTAATTTAATTACATGACAATGAAGAAAAACCAATAAATTACAGTGACATCGTGGGGTATATCCATTCTATGGAGGGGCTCATACCAGTTAAGACTTTTCAGAAGTGGGTGTACAAGATTATCGTGAGTAACATCACGGGCATGAAAGTTCGTGTAACTTTCTGGCGAGACCTGGCAGTTGACTATAGCAAGAAGTTGCAGATGTGTCAGGTAAAACCTCAGTGAGGAAAAATTTTAAGAAAAATAACAATAATTCATTAGTGTTCAGTCGACTGAGAGCATTGAACGTGTCATTTACAAATTACTTTCTCTTTTTCTCCTCTTCTCCAGATAGTTGAGATTACAGGCTGTACAGGGGGAGAAGTTAAATTCCAATTTGACCCTGAATTGAAAGGAGTCATTGCTCCTATGGAACTTCACGTCCAAGCCCTCTCGACTGTCAAGATTTTGGGCCACTTCGATATCGCTACCGCGAGTCCAGGACAGCAGCTTACTTGGGAACCAGTCTCGACAGCTGATTGTTTGTCATTCAAAGACAAACCAATTAGTAAGTAGATTTCTGACCCGATGATTCATATTTCAACATATTTTATTTCTTTAAAAATGATTCGTGGAATTTTTTCCCATTTTTTATAAATGAAATCAAATACCTTCGTTTTTTTTTCATTCCAGCTGTGTCAGGTTACTTGAAAACTGAGTTTATTGTATTCAAAACGACCTCTGGCATTCCACTTGCACACGGTAATCTCGCTGATGGATCCTATCCTCTGTGTATTCAAATTGATGGTTACAAACCTGTTACTCCATTGGAGAAGGGCTCCTTTGTCATATTTAATGGCAAAATTGAGAAGTCGAAACCAGGATCTTTTTTTCTGAGAGTTGATGGGATGAAAAATGTCGTTGTGGACAATAACCGTCCAAAATTGTCTCTAAAACAATTAAAATCGGCAATCTATCCACCAAAAAAGCTCGGACCAGAGGTGGAAGAAGTGTCCAGTCAGAAGAGATACCAAGAGGATGAAGAGAAGGAGAATTCTTATGACAACGAGGGTGGGAAGAAGGTCTGCGATGAACTATCAAGTTCATAAATAATTCCCATCATGATTATAATATTCCCATTGAGTTCACAGAATTTATGGTTTATTTTTCAGATGAAAACAGACTGAGCTTCATTCAGAAGCTTTCCGATTGATGATCGATGGCGCTGATTTCTCCTTTCTTTTTGTTAATTTTTCGTAAGGCATCAACCACGTTTCTCCAGTTGTTTTTGATACCAATAATTTCTTGGTGTCAGTGAGTACACTATAATCTTTATTGCTCGAATTGAAAACTTCTTGAGACGCTGGATAATTCATACTATTCGACAAAATAATTTCAGAATTCTTGAAAATAATGTAGGCATGACAGCTGTGATGAACTTTTCTCCATTTTTTTTTTGATTGAAAAAGTTTGTGTACAGTATGACTGTACTTCATTGGTACTTGCTCAACTGGTGAATATTCTTCCAGTCCCGTCTCCTGGTCAGGAGTCAACTCAATATGTGACATGTTAATTGCAAGGCTGATGAAAACAGTATTTTTTTTATCTCAAAGTTAGGATTTTGCATTTCACTGACTG